ATTAAGTCAATTTAATTAATCTTTTTTATTGTTATTTTTAGAAGGAATCATTGCCCACCACAAACTGGGACATGTAAATTTTCCAACTTTGCTCTTTGATTTCTAGATCGCACTCTATAAAGAGTTTAGAATCAGTCACTGTGTTGAACACAACAATGGCAGCTGAGATTTTGAAGGAGACTGAACTAAATCTGCAGATCAATTTAAGGAATACTGCCATCTTAACTACACTAAGTATCCTAATCCAGAATACAGGATGTCTTTCCATTTACTGAAATCTTCTTTAAGTCTTTCAATAGCATTTTGTAATATCAAGTACACAGCTTTTGGATTTGATTTCGTTGAATTAATTTCTTTGTTTTAATTTTACGTGTGTGTGTGTATGTGTGTGTGTACGTGTATGTACCATTAAACTACATCTGAATGGTACAGGAGGAGATTGCCCCTCCTTCTCCAACAGAGCATCTGGTGGATTCAAACTATGCACCTGGGGATTGCAGTGCAGCTTCTTGCCACTAGGCCACCAGAGCTCCCTAAACTCATTTCTAAGCATTTTATTTTTGTTTTTTCTTATTTTTGTTTTCAAATTGTCATTACATTTATAGAAATATGATGGATCTTTGTAAATTGATCACGTGTCATATAATCTTGCTGATTCTGTTAGCTCTAATTGCTTTTGTGAGGGTTTTGTGTGGAATGTGTATTCCTCAAAATATTTTATATACAATATAATGACATAAGCAAACAGAAAATTTCACTGTTTCTTTCTCATCTGCATGTCTTTTCCTTCTCTCATTTAATTTCTTAGGCCAGACTCTTAGGATAATGTTTAATAGAACTATCAAAAGTGATCTTAGTGGAAAGCACAAAACATGATCAACTCAACGCTTTGTGTCAAGTCAGAACAAACTCATAGTTGACCCTCCAGCATGTTTTTACAGGCTGTAAATGACAGGAGACTGTCCCATCTTCCTCCCAAAGAACTGTCAGAAAAGCACCATCTTTTGGAATATCAGCTCAATTCTCAACACACTAGGCCACCAGAGCTCCCTACAAATATGATACTAAAAGAATCTTCTTACAGTATGATACTGAAAATTTTAAAAACCAAACCTAATGCCAAATCGACGGCACATAACAACAACAGCAACAACTGCCAAATCAAGTCCAATTCATTCAAAACCTGTTAAGAGATCAGAACTGGTTCATATAGAGCTATTAAGGATATAAAACTTTGTAAGAGTAAAGTACCTTATTGTTCTCTAGCTGACCAGTTGGTCAATTTAAAAACACTTCCATTTAGTTAGCAATCAAGTGCTTAACCACTGCTGACACCTTTTAGCAGTTTGATAAAATTCCTATCGCTACAGTGTCCAGTGGTTTTATATTAATAAAAGGGTTTTGGCTTGGAGTTCTGGTGGCCTAGGGGCAAGAAGTTGCACTGCAATCCCAGACATGCGTGGTTCAAATCCACCAGATGCTCTGCTGGAGAAGGAGGGACAATCTTCTCCTGTGTCAGTCAGATCTGATTTGACGGCACAAACACAAAATAACAATTTTTTTTTTTTAAAAAAAAAAAAAGGCCATTGTCTTTTGTCAAATGTTTTTGCTGTTGTTATTCAGATTATTCTGTAGTTTATGTCATTAATATACCATATACTAACTAAGTTTTCATTCCTGGAATAAATGCTCCTTGGTCATAGTGGATAATTGTGTTTACTGAATTTAGTGTAGGAGTATCTTGTCAAGGAATTTTCTGTCCATATTTATAGGGGATATAGTCTGAGTTTCTCTCATGGTATTTATCTGGTATCCAAAACAGAAGTGACGCAGTTCTAAGCTGTCCTACAGTGCTGCTCTGAGCTCAAATGAATACCAGGGCCACAGTTTTGGATTTTTCTTTGTGTGGAATAGAATGCCAGAAAGAGTACCACACAGAGATGCTAGATCCTGGGAGACAACCAAATCAGTTTTAACACCTGAAAACAGAAGGTCATGGGAACCCTTTCTAATTGCATAAACAAACTGTGAACATACTAGTTATGTAGTCATTAGAGAAAAGCAGGTCAAAGCAGCAGATAAAGTGAGAACCTAAATTTTCTAGCTGCATAAACTATGGACAGCTTTAGCATCTGCACACATGAAGAATATGAGCAATGCTTTGAAATTTCTAGTTCATGTCTCTGTTCTCAATGTTATGCTGCAATTTCTAACTTTACCTTGCCTTTTTAAAGGGATTAAAGCTCTTCCTTAGCTATTCTTTTATGTAACTCTAATAGACATAAGTAAAGATCACTGTGTTCACTTTTACATATTGTGTAATTCACGGGCAAGTTATAAATCGACTGTGACTTCTATCTATCTTCTATCCACATTTTCTACTTTAGGACTGCCCTTGTTCAGGAGGAAGAAATCAAAGGTAGGTAAGTGACACCACTAGCACATTTATACTCATTACATGACTGCTGATCATTACACTATCATCAGCCCTCATTCAACCTCCCAAGACAGTCAACATCTTCATTTCATTCTCTTCAGTGACAATACCTACTTAATGATGTCACTAAAAGCATGTTATTATTTTCAATATCCTGACCATCATAATTTGCATCCTGTAACATATTTCCTCTCAAAAAAAAATAGTTAACTGGATTATTTTTATTTAGAGGTTAGCATGTATTGTACTCCTTAATTGGAAAGTCTATAAAAAGGAAAACTGACAGTAAAAGGGAGACTTTTTCATAGCATTAATTATGTTCATTTGGCTTGAAAAAGAGATATAAAATGTCAGAGTTCCTGGAGAAAATAATTTTTTCTTTACCATAAAAGCGTAACTTTTTTGTTTAGAACTATTATCATGATTTAAGTGAAAATTTCAAGAAGTGGGTTTCCATTCAACAGTTCATCCACTTTGTTTTGTGACACTGACAGCAAGCCCCACAACAGAGCAGTACACTTCCTACTTCTGCCTGTGATTACTGTTTCCAACTCTCTTTCTTTCCTCTCTCCTCTTGATTTCTGAACTTCATTCTGAACTTCATTCTGCTGTTGCCTTTGGGGAAGCTAAATTATTCTAAGGAGGATGTATCTCCTCAGTACTATGCTCAGTCCCAAGTCTAAAAGTGACGAAGGACCATAGCTGTAAAAATTCCATCAGTCCAATAAATCTGTTCTCTTATTTTCATTTTTGTCCCACATTTTTCTCCTATTCTATTCAGGACCACCAGAATGTTATTTAAAATTAGGTAAGAGTCCACTGAGAAATTTTACAGTCATCCTCAACTATACCATGGTGCTACATATTTACATTTTATTCATCAGAAATGTTATCTTTGACTTTATATTTATTTCAAGGTCTAATACACATCACTTTCTATCGTTATTATTTCTTCCTTCTGATTAAATAATCTCCAATTCTTGTTTTATCCTAATATGTTTACATATTATACACAATGTTACAAAAATTCTTTACTGACTACTTAATTCATTTTCACAGTAAATTCAGTGTTATCACTGCTAACTTTATGGTATCTTTAAAAAAAATCCACAACCTAAAATAAAAACCCTAATAGGTGGAAAGTGCTGTGACAGAGGCAAAAACAGACTGTTACCATTAACATTTATATATATTAATTTCTTTCAAGAAAAAAAAATCTACTCAGTCACTATCTCAAATGCATAGCTTTTTATGTTTCTTTTTAAAAAGTTAAATTTAAAAAATTAATTTCTATCGTGTTAGCCATGTTCTACTACTTTTTAGCCTCAGCAGTAGTTTAGTAGTGTTTTAACTAATTTTATAGTAATACACTAAGCTATATATACATTTTCATTTTTATGCATTTTTCTAAAATTGCAAAGCAAGTCTGAAATAAAACGTTTATCTTTAAAAAAATCTCTTAATTCTTCCTTATATACAAATGCCAGTTCTCACACATTATTATCTAATAAATAAAAACTAACTTTAATTCATTTTGCCCCCAATTTAGGAAAACAGTCATTCAAAAAGATTAATTCCCTTCAAATCTTACAAAAAAGGCATATAAATCTTTATCGCTAGTGTACATATTAAAAAACGTGGTAAAAACTATATAGGTAAATCTGAGAGGTTTGGAAGCACAGTGTATCACACGTCTACAAAAAGTTATAAATCTCTATGTTTCCTATGCATAAAAATTGATCTTAAGTGGTTATATGTTGGAAAATCCTCACTATGCAACAACAGTCTATCTAAAACTGGAGCTGAAGAAAGACGTTCCACCAAAGAATGTAAAGGAGGCACTTTAAGAGAGACACAGAGGAAAGAGTCCTGCTTTATCCAATTCTAAATATTAACCTATAACTCGAGGAATTGAGTTAAAGACAGAAGAAAATGAATGCTTCAGGAACATATATTGTTGGTGTGTGCTGTTGAGTTAGAGACAACCCACAACTGACCCTCAAGTAGGTTTTTAAGGCAGTTAATCGCACAGGAGACTGGCCATCCTTTTTGCATGAAGCAGCTGGAGTCTAACCATGTGCCTTACATATACGTTTTTATATTCATAATCCCAAAAAAGTATTAAGTATTCTTTTACAGAGATAAGAGAAATGGAACAGTCACAAAAATCAGTCAATACATGACACCTTATTACAGAAGCAGGATTAGTTCCACTATACTACACTATCTCCATTTCATTTTTCCTTTCCTTATTTATGCTTTCATACTAAATTTTGTTTCATTTATAGTAAAAGCTACAGTATAAAACAAAAACAAAGATGTACATCAAGCAGTAAATGTTCAGTTATCACTTTACTTTTTGGTTTTAAAAAAAATCATGGTAATGTCCTCCTGAGTATCTACTAAATACAAGAAGTCTTTAAAAAACAAAAAAAGCACAACTTACTATCTCATGGGCCAACACATATATCCATACATATACCTCCCACAGATTCACTTAACCACATAAAGTTCACTCAACTCATGCTATATGAAACATGATGGTAGTACATGGCAAAGAAACAAAAAGGAGTAAAATTATAAGTATGTCTTGTTATGTGGAGGCATAAAAAGCTAAAAAACTTTAGAATAAAGTATGACGCTTGGTGAATCTACTGCTTACCAGTTTTTGTCTGACTGTGTCTCTTTCCAGCTTCCCTGAAAGCAATCATGGCTCTGAAAAAAGCTCGAAGAACTGCCCATCGGAAAACAGCTACTGGATCAATTCCAATCATCCCAGAGATAAATGCATTCTTGCTACTTCTCAGAAGAGCTACAATATCTGGGCGCATATGATCTGTATTTTTTTCCCGGAAGTCCTACATAAAAAAAGTACCAGTGTTATTTTTTCCCCATTATTAAAACCAAGGAAGATAGGTGGTGTGTTTGAATAGAGATTGAATAAAGAATATAGAAGTGATTCCTACTTCTCTGGGGTGCTGTGTGGACTAAATATTTTCTACAGAATCTCAGCCAACACCAAAAATATTACTATATAATAAACACACTCTAGAATGAATATGCCACAGTTTTATTGCAGCTTGTTAAACTACTGGTCAGCAAGAATCTCTATGAATGAGTATCACATAAAGTGACCTAAGAGAGTAGAATAACAGAAAGAAGCCAGTGATGAGGGTTGGAAAAGAGTATTTCAAGCAAAACAATCACCACTACAAAGATCTTACTGGAAATGAAGTAGATTTGTTAGTAGAAAAGCATTAAGAGTAAGATCAAGAAGATAAAGCATAGTAGACAAGAGTGGAAGAAATAAAAAGGCATATTTTAAACTCTGTAAATCTGAGGTAGGAGTTTATATTTGATGCACGTATGAAAGGGAAATGGCATGAGCTAACTGGTGTTCTATGAAGAACATTGATAATAAGTAAAGGAAAAAAATGATGAAAAGCGGACCAATGATTACAACAGTCTAGCAAAGAGCTGATAATGGCCTGCACTAGCTAGATTTTGTGGAGAAGGAGAGAAAGGGTTTGAAGGCAAAGACTGATGGGAATGAGAAGGTGTTGGGCTAACACCTATTTTGGATTGGAATAACTAGAAGGCTGAAGGTGTCTGCTTTCCTATGTTTACAATACAGAAAAGACTTGAGGATGAGGAATGAAACTCAAAAGATCAGCTTTGGAGCTGAAGGCTAAGTCAGGTCTTCCTTCCAAGAAGACAAAGAAAAAGTGAAACAATCATCATACCAAAGAAGGCAAGGTCACCAGTCCCTAGTTACTTCTTGAACTGTACTTGCTGCATGTCCAAAGACAAAGACATTAAGAAGAATATCATTAAAAGCACATTTAAAAAATAATTTAAAAATTTTTTAAACCAACACATTAAAGGCTGCAGCCATCATGGACATTTCATGAAGCAAGTATCTTTGATACCTACAAGCTTCCAAAGTTGTATATGAAACTACATTATTGTGTAAGACGTGCCATCATAGCAAGGTAGTTAGAAAGAATTCTCATAAAGTCCAGAAAAACAGAAGACTTCCATTCCAATTTTCAACCTGCTAGTACTAACCCTGGACCTCTAGGAAAGCCCCACATAAGGATCTGAAAACCACCCTGGAAAAAAAATAAAGAAAATAAAATTTACAAACAAAAAAAATCTGCTTTGTCCAAAGAAAGTTTGGGATGATAATGGAATTAGTAACACATAATATTTATTAACAGATTACTATGGACATGGTACTCTCTCCTAATTATTTCACATGCATTGTCTCACTTAATCCTTGTAAACGCTTTTGTTCAATTTGATGGGTGAGGATGTGAAGAAACTTGGAAGAATCTGTTCTGGAAAACAATGTATTTGAATTTTGTAAATAAACTAGTATAATAAAATAAAAACACTGTAAAACTTCATTATCTTGAAGAATATATGGCTGGCTACCTATGTGTTATTATTTTGTACTTTTCAAAGGTATTACCAAAATTAGATTTTAATAGTCTAACTTAATGCAGTTTTATTCTTTTTAAAAAAGCTTTTTACATAGCTATCATTATTATTCCCATTTTTATAGATGATGAAACTGAACACAGAGAAGTAACTTGGCCCCTATCATTCTTCTAATAAGTAGAAATGGAGTTTAAAATATAATAATAATAACCTACATTATGTTTCCTTACAGACATCAAGAAGGCAGCTAATATGAAATCTGGAGTCCTAGAAAATGTATTTGCTCTCACTACCAAGGACAGGCAATCTCCTCCCATGCAATTTATTTCCTCTGAAAATCTTCTGGAAGGTCAGCTATGAGTTGGTTCTGACTAGATGGCACACAACAACAACAACATCATCACTACCATATAGATTCTTAAAAGATATAGAACTAAACACGGCTTATCTCTAAAGAGACGGAAACATGACTGAGATTGTTAACAGCTTCAACTTACTTGGTTCCACATAAACAGCCAGAAAATCAAAAGATGAATTACACTGGGGAAAATCTGTTACAAAGAACCTCTCCTCAGTCTAGAGATTAAGGTGTGCCTGATCCAAACCATGGTCTTCATTATTACTTGCTATGCATCAGAGAGTTGGACAATGACTACGGATGACAGAAAAAGTGATGCCTTTGAGTTGTGGACTGCTAAGAAAACAAACAAGTCTGTCCGTGAGAGGGTGAAACCAGGTTGTTCCCTGGAGGCATCTGACATACTCTAGGCATACTGCCAGGTGGGACCAATTCTTGGAAAGGGATATCATGCTTTTAAAGGTGGAGGGATAGCCCAGGAAAAGATGACCCTGGATGAGATGGACTGACTCAGTAACAAGGGTAATGGGAGTAGGTGTGTGAGAGATACTGAAACTGGCTCAAGATAGAGGAGGGTCCAGAGCTGTTGTACCTAGGGTTGCTAAGAGTTGCAAGTGAACTGATGGCACATAACAACAACACAACCTACATACCTACTATATGATTCATTTATCTGAAATATAGTAACAAGCAAAAGTAGTTAAAGATGCCAGGCTAGCATTCACCTCTGAGGGAAGAATCAGCTGGAATGGAATTCTTTGTGTACTTTGTATACTTCATTATATAATCTTATAGATAAGGTTTAAAAAAACCAAAAACAACTACTATTTGTTTTATATTTTAATGAAAGTTTACAGAAAAGTTAAATTTCCTTTCATTCATTAACAATAACTATTTTTAACCTTTATTCTAAAACATGTGTCTTCTCTAAAAATATTACCTCTAATTCACTCTTGCCATAATTTATTCACCTGGAATCCATCAATAAAGTCTGTTAACTGTACTTGTAAAATTTTCATCTTGATGATGGGAGCATGTGTACTACTACCTTGCTTGTTTAGTTTACCCTAACATTCTACCTCAACTATTTTAAAAGCTAACTCATAGTTCACCTATTTCCACTTACACTGCAATCCTCTCTACTCAAAATAATCTTTTAAAAGCATAAATGTTTTAAAAAATTCATTAAAATCTCTTCAAATTCATGATTCTATAAAATAATTTCAATAAAAGCAAGATCTTTTCATTTGGCTCAGAAATGAATTCATTCCTTAAATTCATTTCATGCTACATTCCCTCTTCTTATTATAACCCTACAATGACTGATTTCAACTATTAAGCTTTTCCCTACCTCATATTTGAACTTCTTCTTCCATCTACATATTTACTTCAGACCATCGCAAAATTTCTCAGAAAGGTGTTTAATGTATATGTAATATAAAAATTAATAAATCCACTATTTCACTGTTTTCTCTTATTTATTTTTTATAAATTCCACATAATGCCATTTTCATTTGTGTGTGGGTACACATGGAGTATGCATAAGTATGTTTGTATATATGTAGCTACACCCATACATTCCTACATATCTATGTACAGAGAGAGAGCCAGGAACATAGCTCTCTAGTTTCTCATTATCTTGTTCCCTACACAGCAGAGAGTCTAATAAGTGTGGTTTGTAGTCAATGAGCACATTTTTTAAAAAATGAGTTAATGAGTGAGTAATCTTAACTTGACACTGCCCTCAAGACCCAGAATAGGGGGGAAATTATTTATATATATATATATTAGATATATATTAAGGAGAAAATAAACAAAAACATTGCCTAAAATTGCAATGTTTTGAAAAAGAGATTCCGACTTTTACTGACCAAGAGCCCCCACTTCTACAAAGAAGGCAGAACACAAAAGACAGGGATAGAGTTAAGAATATACCTTTTCTCTGAAACAATGAGAAATTTATACTCACCTTCACTCCATATTTAACTTTTCCAGCATAATGTTTTATGATGAAAGCAGGCTCCATCACTGTTGGAAATTCAATGTAAGAATTCTCTTCATGTTGATGCTTAAACTTGTCTAGCAATGTTTGATTTGTAGCCTGTGGGAAGCTGAATTTAAAAAAGTGGTAATATTGAAGAAATGAATGATAATTGGTACAGTCTTTAAAAGTAACTTATAATTAAATGGCCATATAACATATTTAAGTGTTTACAATCTGTTATCTAATCTAATTTTCAGATTAAGAAGTGAGCATAACAAATGATTGGTGTCTCTATAGTATAACTGAAAGTTCAAAAAAGATATGACTGGCTCAAAGTCACACTGGAAAAAATAACTCAAGTCTTTAGCTTAGGTTGTATATTACTGCAATACAGTAAACTCAAAGCAAAATAAAAAACAAATCAAAGTTTGCGGCCTAGAAGGTACTATGTCAATCCATCTCATCCATGGTATTCCACTCCTGTGCTGAACCTTCACCCTTCCAAGCAGTATGTCATTCTCCAAGGACTGGTCCCTGACAATATGCCCAAGCACATAAGACAAAGCTTCAAAATCCTTGCCTCTCAGGAGCATGGAGACAATCTGTTTACAATACTCCTTCTGAAATGCTACAATGCATTCTTCAGAAACACGCTTAAATTTCAGGCTCCAATGTCATACGCAAGTATGTAGCACAGATAAGATTAAACCAGACCTCAGGTAAAAAAACAAAACAAAAAAACCAACTCTATACAACTAAAGCTTACAAATACATTGAATAAAGCATTAAAGACAAATGAAATGCTGTATTTTCCCTTTAGAACAAAATCTTTCTTAAAGGAAAGTGAATTCGTTTAAATGAGTCTCAATACTTCCTAAATATTACTAACTTTATGAATTTACTTTGTAAGTGCTTGCTGTGTGTTGTGCTGGGTACCATTAACTTGGAACCAACCCATAGCTGACACTCCAGTGAGTTTTCAGAGGCAGTTAATTGCCCCAGAGGAGTCTGCCCATCCTTCTCCCACTGAGCAGGTGATGGACTCCAACTGCGTGCCTTTGGGATTGCAGCGCAGCTTCTTGCCAATAGGCCAAATATCCTATTTTCATTCTTTTTCTATGACATATGACATAGAGATAAAGGAGATTATTTATAAGATGAGATAATGACTGCAGAACTGATTCAAAAGTAAGTTACCATAAAAAAATTTATATGAGGAATTGAATATAGAAACTGAACTAAAGAGCTAATATAGAGATTATTTAGTCCATTCAACCATCTATAAAAATAACATGACAAGTTACTGAAAATAAGTACTACGATAGAGAACTTTACTAATTTATAGAGCAGATGCTAATCAACTCTAAAGATCAGAAGTTCTGTTTTCTCCCAAGTCAAATTTGTTCTGTGTCATTTCCAACCACTTGGGTTAGTCCATAAGCTTTTGGCTAACAATCAAGAGATGACATTTTCTTCATTGGGTAATATTTGCATCTATGTGATATAGCAATTTCATCAATTATTCATCAAAACTTCTTTAAAACACATAGTATATAGTATTCTTATCTATCATCATAATTTCTTCTCTGTATTCAAAAAAAATGAAGTCAATGCTATTAAAAGATTTGCCAAGGGTAGTTCATTGAGTTAGGACACAAATTCTGGATTTGGATTCTGAATTCTAAGTATTATAGGAAACAACAATATAATAAACACTGTTTCAAAGTATAAGCTTCAAAGTAAAAAATACTTGAAAGATTTAAATATAAAGTCCATAATTTATTATCTATATAATTTTTTTCTTTAAATTGCTTAAACATTTTTATTCTTTATGTTATTATAGTATATACAGCAAACGAAAAGAATCACTTATCATTTCCTTACCAATAACTGTCAAAACTAATGATTGGAATCAATATGAAACATTCTAAAATAGAAGTATTTGAGCCTCATCCCAGGCATATTGATAAATAAGCTTGATTAATGGTATATTGGTGAACTTATTAACGGCTTGATTAACAGTTTGCAAGCAGAGTCAAGGACCACTAACCATCTGAATTTGTAAAACATTAAGCAATGAAAGAAACATTCACATAATTTTGTACCAAAAACTAAAAAAACTTTTTATTTGTGTTAATTTCATTTTCATTCTATCATCAATAAACTAGTGAGAGAGTGGGTGTTAGACAAAATTGTTGGCTGTTGCCTTTCCAATATATTTTCATTTTATCAATATTCTATTTAGATGTAGTAATTCTGTGTATGTATTGAATAGAGAGACAAACAGGTTGATATACAAACCAGAATGAATGTTTTCCATGTGTGAAAGGAGGTACTTGGATCATAAATATCAAACAGACAGTAAAAAAGAAATCAAGGAAAAACTCAGCTCAACAGTGAAGTTCATTGTATACCCCAGGATGCTGAAAACAGAGAGCCATGGAGTCTTTATTTGATAATGTAAGAAAGAAGGACTTAAACACCAAAATTCCACTGCCACTGACACAGTGCTGACTCACGGCGACCATTCATTAGGTTTTCAAGGCTGTGACTCTTTACAGCAGCAAAGTGACCATCATTCTCCCATGGAGTGGCTGACTGGGAGATTTAAACAGCTGGCTTTTTGGCTAGAAATCTGAGACATTATGCACTGCACTCTTACTAGAGTTCCATTACAAACAAAAAAGCCTAAATGGCAAATAACACAATTACAAAGAATCATACTTACTTGCTTTCCTCATCCAAAAGATGGAGCAGTCCTGTTGGCTTCTTGCTAATAAGATTTATACAACAGGTATTATCAATATAATCTATATTGTGCCAGGTGATATCTTCAGCTAAATATTCCTCCTAGGAAAACCAAATAGCAAAATAGTAATTTATTCAACTTGTAGAAAATAATATATACATAAGGATAATAAGCTTTTATCAGGTGGAAATGGACTGACTGACAGAGTGATTGAAACCATCAGAGATCATCAAATCTGACATCTATGCCAAGAAGCTAGCTAGATAGGACAGGGTTGTGGTATGTTGTTCACAGAGCCATTATGAGAACAGTGGACTCTATGGCACCTAACAACAGCATGGATTAAATTATGTACCCCTTAGAAATTCATGTTAATCCTAACCTCTAACCTGTAGGTATAATCTCCTGTGGGAATGAGTTGTCTTTGTTATGTTAATGAGCCAAGATTAGTGTAGGGTGAGTCTCTTTTGAGATAAACAAGAGAAAAATCACAAGCTAGCAAAAAAGATAGGCAAGATATATGCAGAGACACATGCAGATGTCCAAGGAAATCAAGAAGCAGGAGCTAAAGAGTTTCTTTCTTTCAGAAATGAAATAAACAAACTTATTCTTAAATCAGTACCCAGAATTCAGAATTCTAGCCCCATAATCTGTGAGAAAATAAGTGCTTTACCCAAGTTTCATCTACAGTATTTTTGTTACAGCAGCACTAGATAATTAAGACACATTCGATACTGAAAAGTAGAGATGCTGCTGTAAAAAGACACTTGAAATGTAGAAGAGGTTTAGGAATTGGATAGAAGTTGAAAGAATTTTAAATATGGTACAGATTCAGGCAGTGTTTCCTATCATACGTAGGACTACTATTAACAGACACTGACTCAAACCCACCTAACAACAGCAAAAGCCTTCAAAAGACTGTTGGTTGAATTATGGATGAAAAAGACAATGTTAAGGAGTGTCAAGAAGTAAATCCTCAGAGAGAGACATCATGCTTGGAAGGGTGAAGCCACAGTGCAAGGGATGAAGATGCTGGATGAGATGGATTGACTCAGTGATGGGTAACAGGAGTAGGTTGGCTCAGGATAGAGCAGGGTTCAGAGCTGTTGTACACAGGGTTGCTGTGAGCTCCAAGGGACTCTAAGGCACATAACAATAACAACAACAAGTAAATAAGGAGAAGTGATAGAGAAAGTCTCCATCTTCTCAGAGACTAAATAGTACCAGCAACAGAATATTACCAGGACAGAGATGTTAATTGAGTTTTAAAAGGTGACTGGAATGAAATAAGGATGATGCTTTTTATACAGTGGCAAAGAATTTGGCTCAATTATTTTCAAGTGGTCTTTTTGTGTGTGTGTGTGTGTGTGTGTGTGTGTGTGTGTGTGTGTGTGTG